TTCTCTTTGGATTGTAAAGAACCCCCTAAGATCTGAGACAACAGTGAGCAATATTTCAATGTCAATGTGCAAAACGTAAACACACCTCACATCAGGAGAAAAAAACGTTGTCATTCCTCTAATTCACAGCTATGGGTTACTTTGTCTTGGTCTTTCACATAAAACCTCGAAGAGATACATTAAAGCTTGTCGCTAGATATTCAAGGGGTCTGAATGTGTTTGCAAAGCACAGCAGATGTCAGCCCGCTGTCCTTTCATCTGCAGGGAGAGTTGCACAAAGAAGGATTTAACCTTCCCCGCCTCCCCATGTTTTCACTGAAGGTGTTAACCACATGTAATGTTTCTTGGACTTTCAGAGAAGCTGAAGTTCACACCCACCCCCCAGCCTTCCCAGTGCCTGGAGCTGGATGAGGAGATCATCATCCAGTGCTCCGCCAAGGGCAAAGAGGTCCCCACAATCCGCTGGACCAAAGCAGGTATGCATGATGCTGGCTTAAGGCTGATTTATACTTCGAAACTAGGTCATCTGCGTAAGTGTTGCAGTGAACAAAAAGATGTCCCCGCCCCCTCCGCAGACACTCTGCTGCACCTCTCCCAAATTGTAGGTGACCGCAGACAGTGCAGCAGACAGGAGGCCGGCTTGTTTTGTTTTTATTTGCTCTCCGCTGCTGCAGATCTGATGTCGAAAGACCTATTTTAACTATATCTTACCTCCAATACAAAAAAAAAGATGGTGTGAAAAAGACTTGTGATCATTGACTTCTACTGTAGATCTCATTTGTCTTCATTAACCGCAATGGATTTCCAGTCTCCTCCTAAAGCCACTCCCTGCCTCTCTGTCTCCCCCTACAGATGGAGGAGAGCTACCCCCGCACCTGGATCAGAGGAACGGCCAGCTCCGCTTCGCCAAAGTCACTCGTAGCGACGCTGGCAACTACACCTGCATTGCCTCCAACAGCCTGCAGGGGGAGATCAGAGCCCTGGTCACCCTCACTGTGGCAGGTAAACACCAACCCTGACTGATGTTTCTTTAAAGAATCCAAACAAAGCAGCATTTATTGTCCTTTTGAGGATATTTTTAGCAATAGCTGAGGATCTGTGGGTTTCTGTTGTCCAGGTTAGTCTCTAGTTTTGCTCTGAAATTAATAAACTTTTTGCATTTTTTTCTGTCTGTCTGTGTTTGCACGCGTTTCTTTGCACACCAAGTGTACGTTCGCTTCAAGGTGGAGCCAGAGAACACCACTGTCTACCAGGGACACACTGCTGTTTTGCACTGCCAGGCCAGCGGGGATCCTGAGCCTCACATCCACTGGATGGTGAAAGACAAGACCCTGGATATCACTAAGAACGGCAGGTAAATGAGAAACGGGACCAAACAGATGTAAAGTGTGCAGAATCATTGCAGCAGCTGGCTTTTAATTTAAACAGTGAAGCGACTTTAAAGTTGAACTAGATTTTTTTTTTTGTTAAATTGGTAGTTGAACTGATATTTATTATAAAAAACACATATAGTTTTTGTCTAAACAAAGAAATGTACAAATATAGTAATTTTTTCCTCTTCATAGGATTTGACTATCTGAAAATTTAGCTTTAATAAGAAAAACAAGATAAATAATTTATTTTCCAGAACAGCAACATCCTTCCTACTGTCAGTCTTACTTGAGTCTCATCTACCTGCCTTATTTCTATTCTTGCTTCCTTCCCTTCTCATTTCTTTCCTCTGTCCTCCTTCCTTTATTCCCTTTTGTCTCAAGGATCAATTCCTCCCTTTATTCCCTTCATGTTCTTCTCGCCTTATTTTAGTCCTTCTTTTTATTTTTTTTTGTGATCCACCTCTTGTGTCCTTCCTCCTTTGTGTCCTCCTGTCCTTGCATCTTTAATTCCATGTGAACTACAACATTTATTCATTCATCCTTTTCTTTCTCTATCCTCCATCCATGTTTCCTCTTTATTTACCTTTTCCTGTGTCCCACGTTGTGTTGAATTATTTTGGTTTATAGATTTTTACACCTCTGCTAATCAAATGCAATCAATCAGAAGTTAATGTACAACTACCAGTTAAAAAGTATAGTTTAAGAGAGAGTAGACACAAGTTTCAGTAAGTAGGTCTTAAAAATGGCATTTTACTCTGTTTTTGTTCTCCAGAATCCAGAAGATGCCCAACGGCTCGCTGATAATAAGAGAAGTCACCACTGAGGACACGGGTCGCTACACATGTGTGGCTGGGAACAGCTGCAGCATCAAAGACCGTGTGGCTCAGCTCTACGTAGTGGGTAGGTTTAACTCTCTATCCCCCCCACACACACACAGAGAGGCATGCTTCCAGAGATCTTCTTTATCAGGGACAAAGGTGCACACGTGGAGCGGTGAGCCACAATCGCAGGAGCAAAGAGAAGGCATTAATTAAACCTCCACCCGTCTGTCCATCACCCATGGCGACAGGTTAATAACCGGCTCCACGTCTCTGACGCCATGGCTGTCACAGGGGTGAAGGGATAGGGTAGATGCTGGATCTAATAAAGCTTCAGACTCGGAGGTCGTTAAAATTACATATTATAACACTCATGTGCCGCCTGCTAACCTGAACAGAAGGACGACTCCTTTAAGAGACTGGATTTTTTTGTTTGGGTTTGTGTGACAAACCTAACAGTAACACAATCATTTTAATCTGTTTAGCTCTGAAGGACTTTATATTTCCTGTAGAACATATGTTTGCAGCATCCGTCAGGCTTTTAAATCCCTAAACCACCTGGAAAAGGGTTTCACATATTTCTTTCTGTAAATCTAAAAACACGCTCTCAATATCAACTGATGTTTCACTGTTCTTCATCCTGCAGACAAATTATTTCCCCTCCATCACGAGGACAACGACGATGACAAGGCTGCTTATAAGATGATCCAAACCATCGGGTTGTCCGTGGGGGCAGCGGTGGCCTACATCATTGTGGTGCTGGGACTCATGTTCTACTGCAAAAAGAGACGCAACGCCAAGAGACTGCAGAAGAACCAGGATGGAGAGGAGCCTGAGATGGAGTGTCTTAATGGTAGGAAGCCGTCCCTGCACTCGGGAAGTTAGTGTCTGAATTGGAAATGCACACCAATAAGCTTCTGTTGGAGAAATGAGCCCAAAGCATCATGGATCCTCTACCGTTCCAAACAGAATGAAGTGATTATTTCAAATCATAGCTACAATAAACTAGAAGCACAAGATGTCAGTTCTCCAACAGTATATTGTATTGCACTTTTTTTTTTTCTCACATCTCTTACCGTCCTTCTTACTGTAAGGTGGCTTTTCTTTTAATAATCGTTCTGCCCCGTGGGGATGCACAAGTTTAGACAAGTTACTATTGTTTTACTTATAAGGATCATCACTGCCTTACTTGAATCGCATGTCTTTCCCATTTTGAACAGCAGCTAAATTAGCACTTTAGTCAGTTATTGTACCATTTGTAGCATAAAAAGCATTACTTTTAGAAGTCAGCTTCACCTGGACAACGTTAACCTTTCAGTGATATGGTTGGATTTTTACTTCTGCAGATTAAACCTTAATTTTTAACTGTTTAGTTCGTTGGAACATCGATTAAATCGACTTATTTAAAAGGATTTAAAGTCTTTATTGTGTGAGGTTAAATACGCAATTACACCTCCCTTTTAACTGGTCTAATAAAGTTGCCGATTTTATGATGTTTAAGCTTTACATTCAGAGTAGTGTTGTTAAAACTTATTGTTTATTCATTTGTAAAGCTTTTTTTGTATTATTATATAGATCAAATCACCCATCCATATGATACCCTACAACAGGGGTCCCCAAACTTTTTCCTGTGAGGGCCACATAACTTTTCCCTTCTCTGATGGGGTGCAGGGGTCAGTTTGTAGCAGAAAAATTGAGACGATTGCAAGAGTGCCTTGACGTAAAAAATGTATTGTCTTCCAGAAAACACAATCAAAGAACCCTTTCTGGATTATTCACAGAGCAAAAGTCAGGAAATAAATAACACTATTTATTAAATAAATAATAACCAAATAACACTCTCTGGGTCCATGGAACATAAACCTTCTGTTGTGCTGTGAACAATCTTAACAGGTCCAAGTTCAGCTTAGTTGTCAAAGCAGAATCTCTTACTTAAATGGCTCTCAAAGTTCTTATGTTCCTTCCTTATAATCTTTTTGTAGGTTCAAATAGATTGTGGACATCACTGTTTGCAGCTCTCTCTCTCATTAACTTCCCTGTGAAACCTACAAAGCAAGCAGACTAAGAAACTGAACTAAGTGATACAGCACCTACACAGCACAACCACTACCAGTATGGTTATGGAGATGGATTTTATCCCAGTAGATTTTATTATGATTATATTTTTATACTCAGAGTGACTCATTCAAATCAGAAAAGTGATCTTACTTTTATATGTTCCATCAGTGTGAACTGTACGCCTGCATCTGGCTGGTGAGAAGTTGAATGTCAGGTTCCATTTTGGTCACTGCCAGTCTCAAACACTGATGCAGATGTTCATCTGTCAATCTTGAATTTATTGAAGTTTTCAGCAGTTTCATCCCTGAAAAGGTTTGCTTGCAGATATACAGTATTTGCTGCCAAAAAGTGTTGCACTGATAGATTTCTGAGAAAAAAGTCAGAATTCTGGCATTAAAATCAGAATTCTGAGAAAAAGGTCAGAATTGAATAGACTATTATTTTTATTTTTTTAAATGGCCCTAATCCTCTTCCATATCTCTTTGAGAGGGGCGGGTTTAAGATTTTTTGTTGGGGGTCGCCAGTTAGGGGCACAGACCCCAAAAGGGTGGAACATTGTCACGTTATAGGTGTGTATGAAATAGTTACTAATAGTTAATAATGAAAAACTTCATAATTAAGGAACATTTTATTGGAAATGTCCAACTTTATTTACAAATACAAAAAAGATAAAAAATAAAAAAAAACACTTATATGAAAATATCTCTGGTATTGTTCAGGGGGCCGGAGCAAATGTGGAAGCGGGCCGAATCCGGCTTGTGGGCCGTAGTTTGGGTACCTCTGCCCTACAAGGAAAACTAAAGATCATTGACTGAATGAAAAATACAGTAAATGATTCTGATAGTAAAAGGTTTTATCAGAAACATTTGTTCCTTAGCATCAACTTTATTTTATCATAAATATGTTAAGATTAAACACTGCAGTTTTCTAAAAAGTTTAATGCAAGACTATATTGATGTAGTTTTGAAGAAAAAAAAAATATGTTCTTCATGTTAAAAATGTGTTGATATTTGCTGCCACCTAGTGTTTGTTTTGGGTATAGTTGGTATCATGCTTGGTGACAGTATGTGTTAACCTTCACCTTACATTTCAAACCCACTGTGTTGTGTTCATCAGGAGGTGCTGTTCAGCAGAATGGCCACACCACGGCTGAGATCCAGGAGGAAGTGGCGCTCACCAACGTGGGTACCGTCACTGCAACCGAGAAGCGGCACAGCCACGCCAGCGATAAGCTCCACTTCCCTCGTGCAAACCTCCAAACCATCACAACACTTGGTAGGATTTTTCTGTTGTAGATATCATAGCAGAATAGAAAGTATGTTACTGTGCATCTGTTCTGATGTGTGTTTGGTGGATGTTTGATCAGGTAAAGGCGAGTTCGGCGAGGTGCTGCTGTCCAAAGCTAAAGGCATTGAAGAAAATGACGCTGAGACGGTGGTTCTGGTGAAGTGTCTGCAGTCCAGAGACGAGCAGCTGCAGAGCGACTTCAGACGTGAAGCTGAAATGTTCGGCAAGCTGAACCACCCTAATGTGGTTCGCCTGCTGGGCGTCTGCAGAGAGGCTGAGCCGCACTACATGATCCTGGAGTACTATGACCTGGTACGCACACGGGAGCTGAGCCAAAGAAACAAACATTTTACACTTTTTTTTGCCATATTTCCCTTTTGAGTCAATTTTAATTCAGTTTTTCTTTTTTGCTGACAGGGTGATCTAAAGCAGTTCCTAAAAATATCAAAAAGCAAAGACGATAAAGCGAAGCCTCAGACAATCAGCACCAAGACCAAGGTAGGTCCTCCATGTTTAATAAGTGACAGATTCTACTCTAGAGCTGCTTTTAAAGGGGATTTTTGGCATTTAAAGACATTTTTATTTCAATCTGGGCCAGATGTTTTTTTCCGGATGGATTAAATACAGGAAATTATATTATTTACTTTCAGATGAATTTTGTCTGAGAGTCAGTTGCTTGGAAGTCTAGTATATTATCACCCTAAACAGTGATTTAAAAACATCACTGCTCCTGAAAAGTATGGAGAAGAACAGGAAGAAATGGACCGATAATAGAAAAACTTTGAATCTGCATATTTTATTTAACTATGTAAAGATAATAGCTAAAATTATCAATCTACCGTAAGTCATTTTGTTTTTCAAGTTACCTCCAGATAAAAGCACCTCATTAATAACAGTCAGGTTATTCTTTTTGTTTTGTGCTTTAAAACCTTTTTAACTTTTAGATTTCAAAGCCATGTTTAGGCTAAGATCCCAAACAAAGCACTGGTACTCGTCAGCTGAATTTTGACATTACTATTACTATAAACTGATTTAAAAACCTCTGTCATTAAAAATTCAGAATTCAGATTTTTATTTTTGACTAATTATAAGCTGCCCTGATAATATCAACCTGAAACCAGCATCAGCAGCCCATTTCCAAATTTCTTAAACTCTAAGGACAATAAAACCTGAACCTTTAAACCTTTAATTCAGCTTTAAACATGATCCATAACCTTGCTGCAAGAAAATAAATCCTGCATAGCGTGACCTCTGAGGGAAAGTAAGAGATACAGCCTCATCTTTACTTAAGTAGCCAGAAGGAAACTATAAATTCCTTTAGAAGAGATTTCAAACTAGTCATGTATTTGTCTCACAAAAGTGGGTCGTTTTTTGACAGATTTTTTTATAACATCTTAGCTTAGCATATTTCATTTTTTTACAAATATGCCGCCAAAGACTGAAAGCAATATTTAAGAATAATGATCTGTTTTCAAAAACTGTAAAACAGGATGTTTAAGTTTTTTTTTAACCCTGCTGAGATTTAAAGGCTTCCTGGCTCCAGAACATGATGAAATATGCTCTTTAAACATCATTAAAATGGATGTCTTTTTGCTGCAGTTACTCGTTTTACTAAAAAGATGTCATTATTTCAGGGCAGTACCCCCCCTATCAGGTTATTAATGTTTAATAAGCAAAAAAAGAAAACCTGATGATGTATGTAGTGTTTTATGAACATTACTTTATACTCTTCTGCTTTGTCATTTCTCCTTCCTCCAGGTGTCCCTCTGTGCCCAGGTGGCTCGCGGCATGGAGCATCTGTCCAATCACCGCTTTGTTCACAAGGACCTGGCTGCCAGAAACTGTCTGATCAACAGTCAGAGGAGGGTCAAGGTGTCTTCGCTCAGCCTGAGCAAGGATGTCTACAACAGGTCTGTTATAAACTTAGAGGGTCTCAAACAATTATACGGCTGCGGCTGAATAAATTAAAAATATCTTAGAAAAGTTCATTCATTTCCAGTTTTTAAATAAAAATACTATAAACAATAAAAATACGGAAAAATCAGTCTACTGGGAAGCATTCTCATCTACCTCCACAACGTCTGTCAGCAGAAGGAAGCACGAAGAGCTATAAAGTCTGCTGGTAAATAACTGGACTGAATTTAGGACTTGATAAAACATAGTAGAGCAACACCAGCAGACATGGAAACATCAAACCAGACCTGAAGGAGCCTAGATTCTGTCCCTGCTCACTTTTCCTGCATAATTATCTCTTTTCCACTTGTGGCTCAAACGAGTAATGCACTACCTGTAGCCGATCTCCTTTAAGCTTTGAGGGAAAATAAATCTCACACCTTATACATCTCTTTTAAACTCTACCCTGCAAAAGCAATCTAAAGAAAGAATGTCTTAAAATAAGTGTATTTACTCTTAATTATAGCAGGTATATAAGATGATCTGCTATTGGGTATTACCCTTAAAATAAGATACCATGCACTTGAAATAAGAGACTGCATTTTTTTTTTGTTTTTTTTTAATGCAAATTTTCTTTTTCCATTATCAAATGTCCAACTTAATTGCTCAATTCAAGAAAAATGTCAATTTTTTATATTGTATAATGCATGAAATCTACATCAAGGTTGCAGTTTTCGCTGTTGCTTGTGCATTATTTTCCACCCGGGTTTTTCCTCCCACTAAATTTCCCATGAACACATGTGGAACCAGCACTCAATGAACAACCTCCTTCTGTTAGAATGTTTTTTTGTTTTTTTTTCTGTAATTCATCCTCTTTAAGTGTGTTAATGATCACCTCTCTGTGGTGCAGCTTTTAAATCAGCAGTCTGCCCTGTGAATGTGTCGACCTTTACGGAACAGAGAGGATTCAGACAGCTCTTTTGTTTTTAAGCTTTTGTAGAATCATTGAAGTTTATAGAGAAAACGCTTCGAATGCACCACTGTGTGTGTGTGTATGTTAAGTTTTAGGTTGTACTCTAACAATTGTAAATGGCTTATACTTCTATAGCGCTTTTTCAAGTGAGAAAAATCCCTATATAAGTATACTGTACTTAACCAAAGCGCTTTACACTACATTCAGTCACACACTAATGGGGGCACGCTACATTATAGCCACAGCTGCCCTGGTGCTCACTGACAGTAGGAGGCTGCTGTACACTGGTGCCACCAGTCCCTCTGACCACAATCAGTAGGAAATGCAGGTGAAGTGTCTCGTCCAAGGACACAATGACACTGAAAGCCGGGGCTTGAACCGACAACCCTCTGGTTGCAGGGCAAACTACTCTATCTGATGCCACTATACGATCTATGAATCATTGTTTGTATTGAAGAAGAGGAAAAAAAAGATTTTCCCGTTATGTAATTTGAGAGGCACCTGTAATCCTATGTAATAGATCTGAAACAGCCAAATAGCAAAAGGTGTCGCTCATGTTTGCTGTTCCTCTGTCTCCTCTGTCCTGTGAACATAGTGAGTACTACCACTACAGGCAGGCGTGGATCCCTTTGCGCTGGCTGCCAACAGAGTCTGTGTTCGAGGATGAATACTCCACCAAGTCGGACGTGTGGGCCTTCGGAGTGCTGATGTGGGAAGTTTTCAGTCTGGGTGAAATGCCGCACAGCAAACTGAGTGACGACGAGGTCCTGGAAGGTAGGCTGATCCTTTTTCTTAGGTTTTTCTAATTCTTCCAGTTCTTAGCCGCCAGATTTCTCCCAGGAATCTTGTCGTTATGTTTGTCATGTTTTACTTCCAGGTCTGAAGATGGGAAAACTGAAGCTTCCTGCTCCGGATGGATGCCCCTCTAAAATCTACAAGCTCATGGTCCGCTGCTGGATGCCGAGCCTCAAAGAGCGTCCCTCTTTCACCGACATCGTCCACGCCCTGGGAGATCAGCCCTCTGACAGCAAAGTCTGAGAGGACCTGCTGCCACCACAGGAGGGAAAAAGAACTTTGAACCATTCTTCCCTCTGAAGTATACATGCTGGATTACTAGTCTCACTCATTTCAGGGACGAGGGTTGAAGAGAGAACACGTTTTTTAAATTTCAGTTGATGGTGTGAACTTGACTTAAAGTCTGAGACTGCAGCTGCTCAGACCTCAGTGCCTCAACACCATTTTATAATCTCACCTTAGCTCTCTGCTGCCACCCTGTGGGGATGGTAGGAACAGCGCTCTGCTCTGATCGGTGCGGATTTCTCCTGAAACTAAGATGGTCTGTGGAATGAGATCTGGCTCTATCAATTTAAGATTATTCATCTTAAGAGGTTTCCTACACAGGCTGGAAAAATACTTGTATTTCAAGACTTCATCTCTGCTGTCTGGATGCATCCTTTTGTCTTCCCTTCTTCGCTCATTTCCTTTCCTCCTGTCCTTTCTTGTTTCCTCATTTTCCAGGTTTATTTCTCCTTCAGTATTTCTTTCTTTCCATGTCTTCCTTTGTTCCATCCTAATTTCTTTCCTCTACATTCATTTCTTCCTTCTGTCCCATCATCTTTGTCCTTCCTACATTCTTCCCTGGCACTCTTTGCTCTTTCCTTCAAACCTGTGTTCATCCCTTGCCTCCTTATCTCCTCCCACATTTCTTCCTTATTCCCTCATCCTTCCCTCCTGTCTTTTTGTCCTCGTTTCATTCTTCCCTTCCTTTCCTACCGTCCAGTTTAAATCCTGCCCTACTCTATAAATATCCGCCATCAGTTCAAAATGAATGTGTTTCATATTTTAAAATAACCTCAAAGGAGTTAGGAAGGCTCGGTCTTGGAAAGTTTTTTTCAGAAATCACGTGTAGGATTCCTGTCCTCAATATTTGCTCCTTCAACCTTTGAGTGGACTTGTACTAATGCCAAACTCTTTCAAAAACATGCGGCTGAAAGAAGAGACCTAAAAAGGTTTTGCATGAAGGTTCACAGTCTGTTACACTTCTGATATAAAACATAATCTGGTTATACTTCAGGAATAAATTGTAAAAAAAAGTTTTTTTCTAGCCAAGAATTTATATTGAAAGGATGAGTGAATATTGTGTTAACTTCAAGGTGCTTATTTTGTCACAGTTGCAGGGATTAAACCTATCACCATGTTAATTGTGCAACAGAACATCAATAGAGGTCCAATCACATTTTTAAAATCTTCGACCATCAGACAAAGTGTACATAATGTAGAAGCCATGCACTAACTTCACTTAAAAATACCACCTTTCTCTGTATAGAAGGATGCACAGGTACCTGTTTATTTATGATGAAGGTCCTGTTTTTTATTTTATTTTTTTTTAACTGTTTGTAATTGGTACTTAACTTTACTATGCTGTTTTTATGTTACCTGCTCCATCTCAGTATATATTCAGTCTGCATCCTAACTGAATATCCTAACAGTCGGTATAAGGAGGTCAAAAACATGGCTACAGATCGCCTGGACTCATCTAAGTGCCTAGTAAATGAAGGATTATCCTAACATTACCCCTTTTTTACATTATCTAATCAAAGGCAAAGACGTTTATCAGCTTGTTTTTTTTATCTTTTTGGTGTAATTTGTTTTTTTGTTTTTATAAATGCTAGGCACTCAGACCTAGACCTCCTTTTTTATTCGTCTTTCTTTTTTTTTCTTTTTTTTATCAGCTTGAGCAAATGTTAACCCTAATCAGATATATTCAGAACTATACATGCTGCTGTCAATAAAGGTGCACAGTGTTTTTAATAAGTGTGTTCTTTTTTCTTTTAAAGTTATTTCAATTTCCATGTTTGGGTTTTAAAACCAGTCTTTTGATTTCAAATGCAGACGATGTGGAGGGAGAAACTTGATGTGGAAAGGTAAAACACAAGATACGAAAGAATTCCCCAACTTTGTCGATTTAGTTTATATATCCTCAAAGGAGCAGGAGGAAGTTTGTAGTTTATTTTGTTACCATTAGATTATTTAATGAAACAAATTGTGTGTTTTCTGCATGTGTGTGCATGGTTGTTAGTCCTGTGTCTTCGTTGACCTGCAATGACCTGATGACCCGCTCCGGCTGTCCCCTGTCTCATCCAGCGACCCCTGCATGAATAGACACATGCAGACAAAGGTGATGGATCATTTATTTCACTTTACATCTTCTATATCTCATAGGCTTGTCCCGATCCGATCCACGTATCGGATCGGGACGCCGATATTGGCAAAAAAATGCGTATCGGCAAAGCATGTAAAATGCCGATCCAGACTGCCGATCCAGTTTTAAAAAAAAATAATCCGGTCCGTATTTTCCAGTTTGCCGATTGAAACGATCCATTTCACTATTTTGCGCCGGTGTTTCCCTGTTTTGCATTTTTATTAAAACTTACAGTAATACTTGCACCTTTAAATGTTTACGGTTTTACTGTTCACTGTGCAATTTCAGATTGCTATTCATAATTTTGTCCAGTTTGTGTTTATCTCTTAATAAACAGGTAAGTTTGTTGTTACCAATCATTGTGTTTTATTCAATCTCACCTAATTTAGCTGGCTAGATGTTATCAAGAGTACTAAAACCCTTTTCAACATGAGTCTTACAACTAAGGCTAAATACTTTAACTTAAACTTAAATGCATGCTTGGATAGGCTGGTATCGGCCAGTATCGGTATCGGATCGGAAGTCCAAAAACAATATCGGTATCGGATCGGAAGTGCAAAAACCTGGATCGGGACATCTCTAATATCTCATAAATTTTTTAAAATGCCCAGTTTAGAATACAGTTTCACTTACAGCCTCCATACTGAGCAGCATTTTCAGGGTGTAGATATAAGTGTTTGGACAAAGGTTGAATTGTTTAATAAGTGACCGATATTGGGTTGGTTTTTACCAAAGTTCATTGCAACAAACTGATGCAGCATCCTAACGGCTAACATAATTTACCATACAGATAATAAATGGAGATTAAAAAAGAGGGATTAAAAATGTGCCCCGTGATTGGAGACCCGTGAGGTTGTATCCTGCCTTTCTCTCATACTGCTGCAGAAAGGCACAGTAGTCATGACAATGACAAGTACTAGATGATGCGTTGATGGAGATTTAAAACATATGTCCTTCAAATCTGGATCTTAAAATCAATCCGAGTCCCCTGATTTTATATTCAAAAGAAGAGTGTTTGGGACTCTGGAGGCCACTGAAATGAAAGACTTTGTTTCTCAACTTGCTTTGAGGCAATATAAGAAAGTCTAGATCAAAGACCTCTACGTCTAAGAACAAACACAAAAAAATAATACAAAGTTAAATAAGTAAAGCATTAAGCTCTCCATTTTTAACATATACCCACTGTATGAATATCTGCATAAATTCATGCTAAATTTGCACATTTTAAAATATATAGGATTCTAAAGAGAAGAGTGTTTAAAAAAAAGCATAAATGTTGTGGAAAATGAATATGCAGCACACCTGCCTTTTTGGTTTTGTGTGAAGTGAGGGTATATGTCTCTATAAATGCCTCTATAAAGGTGTACATTATGGAAGATGTATAAAACAATCCCTCTGCCGCTGTGTTGTTAGAAATTATCAGAAGGCGTTCGGTTGGTTAATATTATAAAGAACTCTTTACGTTTAATATTATATTTACTACAGAAATATGTGGAAAATGAAACGTGACTCCAAAGAGCTGCATTTTTGGCCTTTCATCCATTTGGTTTGAATAAGTGTTAATACCTCAGCTGAATAAAAGCATTATTTTTAATTTCTTACTGGATGTTTAGAGTAGTTAAAGATTGTGAACCTTGTCATATTATAAATCTTTGGTTTAACTGATTTCAGGTGTAATTTCTGTAAAAGCTTGCTGGAAATTACCCCCATTGACCACTAGGGGGTGGTGCATCCTATTTATAAAGATCAGGGGCAAGACTTGATTTATGAGGTTATTTTATACATATTTTATTATTTTTAGAAGTGAAAGCATAACCTCTAAACAATGGACTGCACATACTGTTCTTAAGGCTATTTTAGGTCACTGTGTCGCTGTGCTTAGAAAAACGCATTGAAGAAAGGCCAGATGTCCTGTCCAAATTTAGCCTAAACAAAAAGGTAGAGGGTTAGTCTTGTTTAACATTTCTGAATGACAACTAAACAATAAACTTCTTTTCCCTCTTTTAACAGATTTTGCTTGGAAGGTAACATTGATCTAATCTAAGTAATTGTTTGATACTTTAATAACTGAAAAGTAATTTCCCATATTTATATTGTATATCTAGAAAATAATCTTTCATCCTGTTGTCTTTGGACATATAAGCATTTGAGTTAATGTGGTAATGAAAGCTTCCTCCTTACACTTTATACCCCTAGAAACTCCTAAAGTAGAAAGTGTTTCAAAAAATATCATTAGCACTTGTTCTAACCTGCCTGCTGGAAGAAGGACGAGGGAGGGGAATCCATACATTAACCGTTTTAGTGCCTCATAGCAAAATTTTGTGTAACCACCATTTCTCATGTTAGGGTGTTTTGTTCATAGAGCCACGACTTGCATTCATTTAACAGTTTGCTGTTGCTGTTACTTCAATGCAGCATTCTTACTCTGTGGTAATGGACTTAAATAATAAACACCCCAGGACTTCCTGCTATTACTAAAGTCTGTGATTTGAACAAATCCTTTTATACTATCTTTGCAGGGTTTTTTTTTCTTTTTACTATTACATTGTAATTATTACTTTAATATCCTGCTTTTAAAAAGAAAGGTGCTTTTGGATCTACCTGACCGATGGAGTTTTAGCTTTTTAGGTTATAGTTGTTGAAATGTGTCGTGAGGGCGACACACTGACACCTGTGATAAAGGTGTGTAAAATAACTAAAATAATGGCAGCTCTCTAAAGACAAACTGCAGACTCAAGCTCTCAATCTTAGTACATTTTTTAATTTAGGAGAAATTTAAAAGTTAAAGAATCGTAGTTTTATTAGGGCTGAAACAATTAATTGGATTAATTGTGATTAATCAATTATTAAATTAGTTGACAATTATTTCGATAAATGATTAATCGTTAACTGTAGTGTAGAGACTCTAAAACATGCATTTAGCGGACAGGGCGACCCACTTAGAACAGTAATTATTTTTAAAAATGGAAAGAAATATATAAGGTTTTGCTCTTAAGATTAAAAAAAAAAGTTTTCATCTTTCAATATGCTCTACCCAGAACTCCAAAAGTGGAAAAGTTTTAGTTTCTCCTGGTTTAATTTAGTTAGAAATCTTTGGAAACCATCGGCTATCTGATTAAGTGAAAAAATAATCGACAGATCAATTGATTTGCAGAACAATCATTACTTCCAGCACTAGATGTATAATATTTCTTGGTACCTCAGGCAAATTATTATGGTAACTGAAGCATAGAAACTTCAAATAAAACTATTATTTTATCAACAAAAGCTCAGGATGGCTTTCAGCTGGCAAGACACACTTCAAAAATACTGCTGTGTAAAGTGGAAGATCTGTCATGCTGTGGGCCTTCATCACTTAAGGAGTATAGTAGATGAACAGAAATAAGGTTTATACTTTTTTTTATTTGCATTATGTTAAGTTTAAACAAATACTAACCACAACATTTAGAGCTATTGTTGATTTGCATCGCCCATCCACAGATCTTCAACAACATAACCTACTTTGCAAACACAAATGCTGTCCTCTTTTCTTTGACATTTGTCTTATGACTGACAACAGTTAAAAACGCCTACAAATTATTTTCTGTTGTGATTCCCCAATGTATAAACATACCCAGAAATCTATATGTTTTGACATACTTCCTGTAAAATTTCCATTGGAAAAAAAGAGAAATTTGGATCATTTGATGTCAAACTGACTATATATATTTATATATATTTATATAATATTAAAAAACACATTTCCAGAAAAATTTGTCATTATTCAGTGGACTTTGGGCTTTTTTTTAAATAGCTGTTTCAGAAGCTACTTAAGTGTGTTAATTCACTGCCTTTATGAAAAGGGAAATTAAATGTAACCTCTTCTTAATCTAAACATGGCATAAGTGGTGCTATAACTACCTTTACAAATCAGACTGTTTTCCTGGAATCAAGATGAATAGAAATGAGTGGCTGTAGAGTCTAGACTAAGGGTCTGTAACCTGCAGCTCCAGAGCAACATGTGGCCCTTGTAGATTTCAGCTCCGGCTCTTTAAAGCTCTGATGGGGAAAAAAGGCTGGGTTAACTATTTCCCTCATGTTTCCATATTATGTTTGCAAAGCTTTCCTATAATGCTCTTCTGTTTAATTTTTATTTTGTAATTAGGTTGTAAACTACATGTTATTTTTTCATTTTTTATAATTAAGGTTCATTCCATTCATTGTATTTGATTGTATTTTTTTTTCAAAGTTTGCCTTTTTCTCTAATAATCAGATATGTTTTTAAAGCTTTAATTTAACTATAAAAAAAACTAGTTTACTCAGTAGACTTAGACAACCTTTATCGTCATACAATGCCGTTATACAAAACAAAATTTCGTTTAGTACAGCTGTTCAGAAAGTTGAACATTTCCATATATAAAGTGCAGCAGAGCTCAAATGTAAACAGTAAGGGAGAAAAAAAAAACATGGTGCAAAAAGCGCATTTATATGGAAGTTCAGAGTAATAATATATATGGTGCAATTATGCAGTATTTTTGATTTAGTGTTAGTACATAAAACTAACATAGGATCACATAGTACTATCTTTAGAAAAACATTGTAAGACAAAGGGTAAAACGTCTCTTAGGAATGCAAAAGTTGGTGAACCCTGTTCTAGAGTTTAGTATAGCATTAATATCCTGAGGGCCTCCAACTACCAGCAGGGGGCACTCGAGAGCAACTGAATTCCATCCTTCAGTTGTCTTCTACAAATTATCATTATATAATCATGGAGGGACTCTTTCCTGTCCCCAGCGGTCAGTGGGTTAACCTAACAGTGTTGTTTGTTGATTGAGGGAGAAAGCTATAGTACTCAGAGAGGGCCTTCCTATTCACATAGAGAACATGCAATCTCTTTTTTTGCCAGTATGTTCAAATCACAGCAGAACTTACAGTTCTGTAGCCATTAGGTACAAGGTAAGTCATTTTGTCTTAGTTGTAACTGTTTTAGATGTGAATTTATTTTGGATCTAGTTGAATATTAAAGCTATGGATCAGATTGTCAAGGAAAACAATCAGCAGTATGGAGGAAGGATCATTTATGTAGCTTAAAAATATGAACCTATTGGAAAGCAATACCTCTAAACCTAACCTTAGACCACTGGCATGTCAGGTGTACTAACAGCTTTCAATTTATTTTAGAGATTGAATTAAAATACTATGCCACATTCAGACCAAGCATAGTATCTACAGCTTGTTAAGTCATTTTTTATGGTTAACAATGTTTCTAGAGAGGATGCTAACCTTATAATTAAAAATACAAAGACCAATGAATAATATCTTAATCCTGAATAGTATATATTAAACTGGCATGGCTAAAAATAACTAATGTTGGTTGGATACTCCAATTGAATCTAATCCAGGTAGATCATGACCTCCAAAATAAATAAAAAAAATCCAGCCCTGGTGGTGGCTCAGTGGCTGTATGAGATAAAACTTCCCAATTTAGTTATGCCACCTAAAATCTTTGCATTATTTTAAAATGTCATCCTTTCACTAAACTTTCCATTACATAGGAAAGCCTACAGTTCTCTGTGAACAGCAAGCTTCTTCAGAAATATTATTATTATAGTAGGAATCAATGTCAATAGTCCAATTGGGATTAAAACATAATTAGAACATATTTTCTAGACTTGATTAAGGTAGTTTGTATAGCCAATACGGAATATAAAATTACATTTTTGTATATTTTTTTGTATGAGTGCGATTATTTTGGTCCCCTTCTCTACGGTGACGTTGACATTAGCGCAACCATGTTGGTATTTATTCTAATGAGGATGCCAAATCGACCAATCACAACGCTATTCAGATAATCCTCAACCAATCAATGGGGAAAGCTGTGACTCACCAAATAAGGAGAGACAGCACCAAATAAGGAAACGTATCTCTTTATAAGGAGGGAAGTAGTTCCCCGGTTCTTGTATCACTCCGCTGCTAATTGCGGTATTTTAAAGATAGGTGTTTACGTTCACCTCTGGACTATGAGTAAATGGGAATTTACATGAGACAAATATAGAATGTGTTATATGTGCTCTACTTAGTTGGTGCAAATTAGTTTTTTCTACATTTTTGAAGCGTGGATTATTTGACGTGGCGCATTGATATGTGGGGTGTTGTGCGTGCTTTCCTTTTTGAGAAAGTGCTCGGAGTTTTGGAAATAGAGGAGGAGGGTGAGCTTTACTGAGCCGGGATTTACGGGTGTTGGGGGCAGCATCACTTTGTGAAGTTTACACCGGTTATTTCCTGGACTCCGCAATCTGTTGTCTGAGCCGGTTTGTTTACATTCAGTAGTCCGGACGTGTATTCACGGTTCGACACGCTCCAGCTTCTTTGGCTGGCGTTCAGAGACTTGCTCCTGTGAGTATAATGTTACCCAGTCAGGTCGGGTCGGCACCATCTGGAAACGGGTCGGCATCGGTCAGGACTGCGACGGGACACGGACCGGGGATTCGTCCCGTTTTGGTCCGAGCGGGTCAAGCCTTAGCGGGTATCGGTGAGAGCGGCGGAGCTGCAGGGCGGCAGGCGGAGAGGGAGGCTGCTGGGATGCTGGGGGCAAACGGGCCAGGAGGCTCCAGAGGGGCGAGACCAGGAAACGGGACTGGGCTGAACCCCCTGCAGACAGCCGTCCAAGGCGGCATTGTGGGGTTAAACACCGGGGTGGTTCTACCCCACGGAGCCCGCTTCGACCCGGACCGAGACGGCGCTCCTCTCTGCAGCGGCTCGGACAATGATTCTGATTCCGGAGACGAGGATGACCCGGTGGGGTCACTCGGGGACAGCCGGAGAGGGGTGAAGCGGGAGAGGGGGGAGATGGAAGGGGCGGCGGCGGGGCAGGAGCTGGGAGTACCCCCCGGAGGGTACGGCATGGTGACCGGTGGAGTTGCCGGGGCAAAGCCGGGAAAGAAGACACGTGGGCGGGTAAAAATAAAGATGGAATTTATCGATAACAAGTTGAGACGCTACACCACGTTCAGCAAGAGGAAGACTGGTATTATGAAAAAGGTAAGTCAGTCACATCCAGAGGTTTAAGTTATGTTTGTCAGGCTGGGTTCCCAGTGATTCTTTTCCAGGTCTCCCCAAAAGTTCTATCTGTACTTTAACTAGGCCATTCCTGTTGGCCATTATTATTATTGGCAATTGATGTCAATGACATTGTAATAAAGATTCAGCCTCAAACTGTTTGTCCCGTGGATCAATTTATCCAAATTCCCTTCCTCTGCTGGGGAGAAAACGATTGATGCAACCAACACAAGGTGTCACAGTCAGGGGCGTAGCCAGAATTTTTTTATAAGGGTGGCCAGGCAATAAATAACGTAGACTGAGGGGTGGCCGAAAGTGGATCAGAACCTCTGGGTCAATCTACACTGTTCCAACAGGAAAATTTATGAGCACAAAATCCATATTTTCTAAATAAAGACAAATGATCCTTTCCTATAACCTTTGCTAAAAAATAGATGCATATATTTAAACATCTTCTTAGATAAAAGGTATAGTGGATACAATTCTTTCAGGTTTGAGTTATTAGTTACTTTTATCAATAATCATTCTGCAAAAAAAATATATTTACAAGTACTAATATCTACATAAATTGAATATTTATTACGCTTTTATTAAAATAGTTGAATATGATTTCACTGAATATTCCTATATGACTTGCAGAGACTAATGATAATCGCTTTATCCCATATAACGCAAAATATTGTTCTGAAAAGAGCATGAATTCTGTACTTATCTTTAATGTCAGTATATTGATGTGCATAATTAACCACAGTATTTTTGTTGTCAAGTAAATGTTAATAAATGAAAAATTGAAATGTTTTGAATCCTTAACTTGAGAGTATTACTGTTGCCACCATCTGTATTAGAGGGAAGTAACTGATTGACTAAGGGTGGCCATTGCTACCCCTGGCTCCCCATCTAGTTCTGCCCCTGGTCACAGTGGGCACAATGTGTAGGTGTCTTATAGCTGCGTAAAGAAGAGAGAATTGTGTATTTTTTAAGGCTTTAAAGTTGTTTATGTCCCCCACACCTCCTCCTTTTCTGCACTTGCAGATTTATTTTGCAGCTCATCCAGACTGGGTATCTTGGCTGCTTGATTGGTCTGCTTGCCCAGGCTGTCCGCTCAGGTGGACAACCGTGTCTAAGTAGGTTGGCAGTTTTTTTTTTTTTTTTTTAAATTCCGTTTATCATATGATGGATTAAACACTCCTGTATCCTACATGCTGATATTTCTAAAGCACTAGTTTGTTTGTTTTAATTTTTTGGGGCGGTATCAGAATAAAATGGAATCCCTAAACAGATTTCACTTCCTTCAGAAAAAACAAACAAACAATAAACTACATTTAGTTTGTGGTTTTTAATCCAACAGTTGTCCTTACTGCACTGTCAGGCTTTCATTTAGCTAAGTGTTCATTAGTCCAGTTCTTGTGACGAAACTGTTGTCCCACAATGTGACTCAGTGTGTGCGAGGAAGTCAGAGCAGTGGACTGTAAATAGATTTGAGCCAATGACGGGTTCTATTTATGACAATGCCCCCCCTCCTCCCAGCTAAACCACAGTCTGCCTCTCAGGTTTCCAAATAACCTGATGCACTCATTCATGCACATGGTCCTACACAACACTCCTTCATGGGCCTGTGTCTTCTGCAAAGGAGCCTCATTCAGCTGCACGAGTTTACAGACTGTTCCCTGCATCACTGCGATGAAGAAGTCATGTGGCGGCAGCTGTAGTCCTTATATGCCAACAGCTGATTACACCTCAGGGGAAGCTGATCAGAGGTTGGTCAGAGAGCATTCATACAGGAGACTGTGCATACAGCATGGTTCCACATCCTCCTTGCAGGCTTCTGCTCTCTGAGATGGCTTTTCTTGCTTTCGGTTTTGTTGGCTCAGAGCGACAAGTGACCCTGAAGATCTGAGGGTGACGCAGTTTTCTCCACGGTAAACTCCTAGTTCCTATAGAGCAGTAGTTTTCAGAAGCGCCCACATACTTCTAGAAATTAACTGATTATCTTGGATTTTATCAGCCAATGCTAATTATTTTTTTTCCCCCATCTTTGTTTCTCAGACACGTCCAGGAAAATATTAATGAATTACAGATGAAATAGTTTTGAAAGTATATTTTTCTCACTATTAAACAAAAGTGGCATCAAAGTAAACACTGTCAGTTGATTTTTTTAAATTTTTTTTTTAACAAACAAACACCTCTTCAGTTCTTGGGTTTGATTCAGTATATGAATGCAGATGGGTTTTCAGTATTTTACCACATTTTTACCAATTAGAGGTGTTCTTGGAAAAATTATCCTATTTTGATTTTTAGATGTTATGTTAATATCTCGGTAAAAGTTGTTGCTCCAATATATTTTATATGCCTTCTACTAATTTAGCCCCATACATAAGTAAACCAAGCAACTGCTTAGTTCCCATCATCCAGCAGGGGCCCCTCAAGAGCACCATCATTTAATTTACAAAAGTAGTCCTTCATTTTTCTTGGAGTTAATATCCATTGCAGTCGTGCAAATAAAAATTATCAAAATGACCCGTGGAAATGTTAAAGGCCGCCCCCCCAAGTCAAATAGAAATAGATCAGGTTTTGCATGACGTATTTCTGCAGTGTGCATGGTTCAGCCTATACTGCTGCAGTAGCTGTATGCTGACAGGAAATGAGCTAAGGGATGGGGGGGGGGTCAAAGACTGAGTTTTCCATAAATGCTGCCACTGCCATGTCTGGTTTAGTTAGACTTGCAGTTCATTTAAAGTTAAACCTAAATGATAAGAACCGTGCTGAGGGGACTGATGGCTTATGGAAGAGCAACAAATGAAGTTGTGTTTAGGAGCCTCCAGCCGGCTCCGCTGCCACTTATTTAAAGTTCATTATTGTGGTATAATGTCTGTCGTTATTTCCCTGTACAGCAGTGACAAGTGGATTTTATTAAAAGTTAAACACTTTAACCTGAATCCTTGAAGTGCCTGCACGGCTCGCTCTCTGCTTGCATTTCTTTCTGTTTCTTTATTAATGTTTTCACAGACTGTTGTCGTGGAAACTGAGGTGTCTTTATGTAGGCTCTTGGCAACATGAACACCATTTGACACAATGTGGGGAGGGATTTTATTTATTTTTTATTTTTTTTAAAGTTGCCCACACTCATTCCAGCCTTGACAGAAATTGACAGGTGGGTGGAGTGGGCAGATTTATAGTAGCTTGGTCTCTAACAAGGAGGAGCTCTTATTTTGCTTTGGAAGGATGCAATGAAAGGCCCACATCTTCCCTTTGCTGTACTTTACATGATTTAGCTGTTATGCATCAAAACACGTTCATAGTACCGCTAGTAGCTCTACTAAAGACCAAGAGTTTGGTTTTATACTGTTAAAGCGTCCAGTATGTTTTAAGAGAATGTTGCAGTAAAGTGTGGCATTCATCTACCCCCCTTTACTTTGATATCACTCAGTCATTTTAAGTGTAAGGCACTGACTTCAGAAGTGACCTCCATTTATGGAGGGTTTGTAGGGTCTTTGGCCATGGAGGGCATTGGTAATTCTGGAGGAGCTGCAGAGATTTATAGCTCAGGTGGTCAACAGCACAACTATTGGTTGTACACAGAGGAACTCTAGAACGTAGCGGAAAGAGATGAGCAGAATCTTTTAGTAGTCCTGTTCAGTTTGCTACTGGTTATATGGAGAAAACATCTCATAAATAAGTGAAGAAGGTACCATCAGACTGATTGAGCTGCAGAATTATGGTGGAGATATTGGCATATTCTTATTAGAAGTAAAGTCAAAGTCTATACTTAATGAAAACTTTAAGAAACTTGATCCAATAAAACTGTAGAGCCAATTTGCAACAAAGGTAGGTAAAAACCCTTTAAAGGGACATTTCCCTTGAAAACCTAAGTGCAGACAACTCCTCCACCCCATGATTGAGCAATAGTTGATGTGTATTTCTAATACAATGCATGTCTGTCTGTCTGTCTGTCTAAATTAAGGCCTTAATTGGCATTGAAATTCATTAATGTGATTGTCATGGCGTTTAAAATGCTTTATTAAAAAAACAAATAGCTTATAAAACAATTTCATCAGATATCTTTTATCGCAATATATATGCGCTGAATGGCTTCCGGTTGATCGTAAAGCCGTATGTTCGGTAAAGAAGCTTGAGGTGTAGAAAAAGCAAATGCAAATTTCAACAAAAGTGGCTTTAAAACGGGGATTTTGGGACATGGCTGCAGCCTGATTTTGCTGTGTTTGATTTATATATATATATATATATATATATATATATATATATAGCTGCAAATAAGTTTTTGAACACCAGTCTATCAGCTAGAATTCTGACCATCAAAGACCTGTTAGTCAGCCTTCAAACTGTCCACCTCCACTCCATTTATTATCCTAAATTAGATGCACCTGTTTGAGGTCATTAGCTGCATAAAGACACCTGTCCACCCCATACAATCAGTACGAATCCAACTGCTAACATGGTCAAGACTAAAGAGCTGTACAAAGACACTAGAGACTAAATAGTACACCTCCACAAGGCTGGGAAGGGCTATGGGGAATATGCCAGGCAGCTTGATTAAAAAAGGTCCGCTGTTGGAGCAATCATTAGAAAAGAGAAGAAGCTAAACATGACTGTCAATCTCCCTCGGACTGGGGCTCCATGCAAGATCTAACCTTGTGGTCTCAGCGATCCTAAGAAAGGTGAAAAATAAGCCCAGAACTACACATGAAGAGCTGGTCAATGACCCGAAAAGAGCTGGAACCACCGCTTCCAAGGCTACTGTTGGTAATACACTAAGACGTCATGGTTTGAAATCATGTATGGCATGGAAGGTTCCTCTGCTTAAACCAGCACATGTCAAGGCCCATTTTAAGTTTGCCAATGACTATTTTGATGATCCAGAGGAGTCATGGGAGAAAATCATGTGGTCAGACGAGACCACAATACAACTTTTTGGTCATAATTCCACAAACCGTGTTTGGATCCCAAGAACGCCATGCCTACTGTGAAGCATTAGGGTGGTAGCATCATTCTTTAGGGATGTTTTTCTGCATATTGGACAGGGCGACTCCACTGTATCAAGGAGAGGATGACCGGGGCAATGTATTGTAAGGTTTTGGGGAGCAACCTGCTTCCCTCAGTTAGAGCATCAAAGATGGTTCGAGGCTGGGTCTTCCAACTTGACAATGACCTGAAGCACACAGCCAGGATAACAAAGGAGTGGCTCTGGAAGAAGCATATTAAGGTTCTGGTGTGACCTAGCCAGTCTCCAGACCTAAACCTAATAGAGCAGGGGTCTTCAATATTTTCCAGGCCAAGGAAACCCAAACTGATGGCGAAATGGAGCGGGGACCCACTAATTATATATATATTGTATGAAATTGCTTTATATCAAACTGGTCCTATAGTCACTCCATTACAGATGGAGTCATGTAACAAAAGTAATTTCGCCCTGAGATAATTAAAGTATTTCTAAATCCTCGTTGATAGGACAGGTGTTGTGAATGAAACGGTGTCCAGCTTGAGAGAGCTCCTGTGTGTCGCTGAATGTGTGCATTGATGATCTTCTGCCTCCATTTATCTGTTTACTACATTCTGAGGAATTCATGTCAGTGTGTATTTAAATACATTTCAATTAGTGGAAAAAATTGCCGGGTTGAATGTAAAAAAAAATAAAAAAACTTTTGCGACCCCCATGCAGTAACTCCGTGGACACCCTAGGGGTCGCGGACCCCCTGTTGAACGTTGAACACCTCCGCAATAGAGAATCTTTGGAGGGAGCTAAAACTTCATGTTTCTCAGCAACAGCCCAAAAACTCGACTGATCTAGAGAAGCTCTGTGTGGAGGAGTGGGCCAAAATCCCTCCTGCACAGTGCAAACCTAGTGAAAAATTATAAGAAAATTTCGACTCCTGTAATTGCAAACAAAGACTACTGTACTAAAATTAACATTGATTTGACATATTTGCAGCTGTATCATACAAATAAATAGTTAGAAATTAAACATTGTGATATCTGGATTTTTTTTTTATTATTACAGTGGACATGCACCTACAATGACTATTTTAGACCCCTCCATGATTTCTTAGTGGGAAAACTTGCAAAATAGCTGGGTGTTTAGATACTTATTTGTTTCACTGTATATACATGAAAGAAAGTGTTAAGTTCCAGTGTTTGAATACTTCTTCTGAGCCATATATGGATAAATAAACAGGAGTAGATTCTGTTTCTGTCCCAGCAGCAGATTAACAGCACTGTGCACAGCAGAGTGCTCATGCTTCGGTAAGTTTCTTGCATCACTTTTCCTTTTTTCAGTTATTTGGGGTGGCCCGTTGTGAAACGGTGATTTACCCCAAATAACTGAAAAAAGGAAAAGTGATGCAAGAAACTTGCATTATAAAAGCTAAAGAAATAACCTAAACACACTCTTGGTGTGTAAAGATACCAGAGCATTTTAAGCAGTTGGATGATTGGTTTTCTCCATTTTCATTTTGTTCAGCTTGAAACCCTGCATCGTCTTTGGGATTGCCTTGTTTGTTTTAAGATGTTATGAAGACAAATTACCGCCACTAATGGATGTTTTCGTTGCTGATTACCTCGCTGTTCCTGGAAGCATGATTTTTACAAAACTGTGTAATAAGCAAATAATGAGCATGTCCTGTCAGCTCAGTTGGAGAAGCCAAAACGATAATTGTTTTTCATGAAGTTAGTGCTTTATTAAAATTTCTGTTGAGACAAAGAAAATCATTTGGGAAACAGTTTTTGTTTCACATCTCTCTCTGTCTTGTGCAGCGACATAACATGGTGGATTTAAAAGAATTTTCCCCACGAATCTCTGCAGAGGTTTCTTGCTAATGCTTTTGGTTCTTGTTTGTAACTTGGTTATATTCCACCTCCAAGATCTCTCCAAAATACCCATCCGATTGCAGCAGCACATATATCATGCAACTTCTATGGTTTTGCTGTCAGACCAAATTCCTATGCTTTATTCTACTTTATTAATGCTGCAAACAAGTTGCTTTCAAAGAAGCCTCTCATCTGATAGTCCCAGTCTGGTCTAGTCGGCCATATAAGCTGTTAGAGTGTTTGTAGATTTAGAAGGATTCTACCAAAAATGAACGGAAAAAGTTTTTAGGTATGACCTAAAAATAGACAACAGATATGAACAGGATTCCTAAAGTTTTTGCGCAGTTAAGGCATGACAACAGGTTATAGATTTTCAAAGGTAAAGTAATCGAACTTAACTGACAGTCAGTGAAGTCTGAACTTTACTCAGCTTGTCAGTCGGTCCGTTCCTCCATCAGTTCGTCCAGCCTCACGACTGTCCGTCCTTCAACCGCCTTTCGCTTTAGTCAACCGTCCCTCCATCGTCTTTCCCACCAGTTTGTCCGTCTGGTTAACAAAACAAACAACCAATCAATCCCGCCCCACCAAGCAAGACGTACGTCCATCCAACTATTTTTGAAACCAGCTGCACATCAGCTTCTTTGTCCAGGGTTTCCGCGTGGGTCATAAAAAATAATTAAAAGTCATAAAACTATTATTTTTTAAATTAACCCTGTAATGCCAAATGTATTATATTTGATACATACGGTTTCTGAAATGTTTTGCGTCTGACACCTTTTGCTTAATTTAATGGTAAAAACTTTGCTCAATATCCTATTGTACACAATCAGATATACCTGATAACAGACGGCAGAAGACTACACAAAAAATAATCTTGACTTATCGCATAGTAATAAATTATTAATATTAAAAATTTGTTTGTTTTTTCTTTTTACATATTTTGTTAAAAGGCCAAATAAGGACTTCAAACCAAAAAAAAGTAATTTTAAAATGCAAATTGCAACAAAAGCAGCTGGAAAACGAGGAATTCGGGACATGGCTGCAGCCTGTCGACGGGTACCTGTTGGTGGCTTTAAAATCATTTCTAAGAGCATTAAAAAGCATTAAATTTGAGTTATTCATTCCTGTATAAACCCTGTTGTCTGTTGACTTGGGATTTTGTCAGTCTGTTGGCTTTCCAACCAAACTACCCATCAGTTTCTGTTATATATCCCTTGGATTTGTGTCCATCTGTCCAACTGCTGTCATGTCATACATCCCTCTAACCACCTGTCTGTCCAACCATCAGTTAGTTTTTCATACCTGCTGTCTCTCTAAACCGTCTAACAATCGGTTTTCAGTCCATCCAGCCTGCAGTTTTACTCTTTGACAGAAAAAAAGTCTGGGAATGTGTTTTTATTGGGGAGGAAATGGTCTTTCTGAACTGAAAGTTGTCGATCAAAATCCCACCTTCTGAAGATTGAGCGGAGCGGTGTGCTCCTCTTGAAAGGCAGTACAGCAGATGCACACGATGTTTCTGGAGGTGGAGTGTGAAACAGATGAGACGTATGGTTTTATTACTGCTCAATAAAACCTTTTCATTTGAATGCGATTCATCTCCTGCCTCCGTCTTACAGAGGACTGCACTCCGGTGTACAATGGCTGGTCTGTCTGCTCTATGAGCGCCTAGGTGCTGGTAATGACGCTGCTTCTTCACAGCATCCTCCGTGTACCTGATGACTCATTTAGATTAAAATGAGGAGTTAACTCTGAGTGCAGCGTATGTGTTGGACACAGTTAACATCTGGATGCTCCTGTCCGTCCCTCTGAAGCCTCTGGCTGAGCATCAGCATGCTGTATAATGAGTGATAAGGCAGGAGAGTCTGCCTCTGTTTAAAGAATGCTTCCTCAGTCATCTGGAGCGCTAATATCCCCCCCCTGCTTTGCAAACAAGCCCTTTGCTGTCGCACATCTATATCACACTCTCTATTCTGGGAGTCTTATCTTCAGATTCGTGGAATACGTCACGGTTTGCTAGAGGAGTATTTATAAATTGTACTGGGCTTTTTTTTTTCTGCTGTTTTTCCACTGATTCCTGTTGGGAATCTTCTATATTCCCTTGGCTGATGAAAATAATTGACCAAAAGGAACTCCATATTTGGTAAACTGTATTTTTGATGTCTTGGTCAGATGGCTCACTGTTCTCCATTTATCCCCCCCCCACCCCAGGCTTATGAACTCTCCACCCTGACGGGAACCCAGGTTCTGCTGCTGGTGGCCAGCGAAACGGGTCACGTCTACACTTTCGCCACCCGAAAACTCCAGCCAATGATCACCAGCGAAACGGGTAAAGCACTGATCCAGACGTGCCTTAACTCACCAGACTCGCCGCCTCGCTCCGACCCTTCCATGGACCAGCGCATGAGCGCCACTGGCTTTGAGGAGACGGATCTCACCTACCAGGTGTCGGAGTCGGAGAGCATGGGTGACACAAAGGTGAAAACAAAGCCTCTGATTCGGTACCTTTGTTTCTCTCTCTGTCTGCTTTCTGTTGGTGAAATGAATTACAGTTTAGAACAACAGATAAAGCGCAGCAGAGAGTGACTAATGACTATTGTAAGAAGTTTCTCTAGAAAAGGCCAGCGCGCACGAAGAGGAGAACAATCAAGCTGAGGAGCAGCTGTGTAGAAATGAGTTTTCGCCCACGTCTCGACAGTTTTTCTGGTTTGGGTCTGCTGTCAGTCCTTTCAGTATTTTTTACATTACACAAAAAGATCTATGTATTTTTTTATGTTCTTCTTTTCTCCAAGTTGTACCATACATTCTTATTTTTAACTTTTGTCTGGGCTTTGATTGGACCTTTACATTGGAGCCGGGGTTCCCCTTCAACTGCTGTGCTGGTTGAAGGGGAACCTTCAATTCCGTCTCAAGTCTTCTGCAGCCTCTAACAGGATTTATCATCCAGGAGGTCCCCACAGCATAATACTGCCCTCACCATGTTTAACACAGGGGGTGGTGTGTTTACAATCAGGATTCTTGAGTTCTAAATTATTGCAACTAACAACTACTTGTACTCAAAAACACTGTTTACGCAGCTTGACAGGTGGCTTAACGGCCCTATGTGAGATAAACATGGATGATGTGTTTCTCTCTCCAGATAGCATTTTGCAGGTAAAATGCTATTTTTTTTCTTTTTCGTTTTTAGATATTTTGGTTAATTTTTAACATTCTTCCATTAAAAACGAGATTTGGTTTTGTACGATTAATCAGTTGATTCTTCTGTCTGAGGTGTGGATTCCAGCAGCTCCTCCTGTGTCACCATGGGTGCTTTAGCTGCTTCTCTGACTAATACTCTCCTAAAGTATGTTTTAAATAATAATAAAAAAAATATATATATATATATTTATATATATTCTTTCAATGGTTCTATTTGAGATTACTCACTCTAATCAAGCCCAACACATTAATGTTGTAATGTCACATGTTCCAGCCATACATTTACAAGGCACTGAAGGTTTTACTAGCAAACTATCTTACAAAGCTGAGAAAATGTCTCTGTAGTTCCTTGTAAGGTGTTAGACCAAAGACGGAGTCAGATATGGAGATTTGAGGAATTAAGTGAAGGGAATGATCTCTAACACATTTCCTCTGTGACCTCTCCTCAGCCAGAGAAAAAAAACACACACACACTCCTCCTAAAGATAAATCCCAGCAGGTCTGGGATGTGTTAGGATAAGAGACGAGTACCCGGCTCAACTGAGGCTGTTACTGACATGGAAGGCTCTGTGTTTGTTCTTGAGATAACATCTTTAAGCGTTTTTCTTAAAAACCCAAATTCAACAAATTCACACATTAAAACTTTGCACCGTTTTGCAAAATTACTCCTTAAACATTTGGATATGAATCATACAAATCTAAAAAAAAAAAAAAAGCATCTTTTATGCTTGGATGCACAAGAGTTTGAGGGAACTGAATAAAATTGCACAAAAAAAAGCACTTTATTTTTTACTTTTACCAATTTTGTGCCATTTTATGCTGGCAAAAAAAAAATTCAAGTAAATAGCACTGAAGGGAGTCACTTAAAATGAAATGTAGAAGAACTTGAGAGTAATTGTTTGTTTGCACATAAATCTAAAGCTGAAATGCATCCCCAGCGTCTCTCCTGCCGTTTGCACCTTCGTGTGATGGTGTGCTGGAGGCTGATATTCCGTCCGCTGTTTGCACAGCTTAAGTGTGCACCTTTTGAAGACGGACGCTCGCAGGCCCCCTGTTCGCTGTTTTCACAGGGCGCCAGCTAGTGCGTCCCAGACTCCCCGTCAAGGATGGGAGCTCAACCTTTGCCTTTTAATCCACTCTCATGCCCGCTCCGCTCATTGATAAAAATTAGATTCTGCCTCTGTTGCCATATATGGTATGGTTTCCCTGCCTGCACTCTTGGCTGAGGCCCCTCGCATTCCTTATAAGCTGCAGCTGTCTTTGGAGTCCTGTGATTTCGACCCTCCGCTCCAACCCCCACCCCTAAACCCTCTGGTTTAGCGATACGGCGGGGAGCTTTGGATGCAGATACAAGCAAGTGGGCTGGAAACATTTATTCAATACTGGTCGTCTTGCTTCCAGTGACGTCTGGCATGGGTGCATCGGTGGCCCAGTGCCGTCCCAGCTTTTAGCGCTGCTTTAAACCTGTTAACCCTTATACAGAAGATTTATGTGGGATCCATGCACTGTTATGGCTGAGGCCCGGCAGGTGGATACGATTTTTGAGGGATGGTTTCAGTGTAGTGGCTCTGCCGTATGGCTGCTGCTGTGCGAGCGTCTGGACTCTGTCCATGGTGAGAGCGGCGTGTCATGCATACAGACCAAGCTAGTCTAAACAATTCAGTTTGCAGAGGCTGGAGGGGGAAGTAGAGAACTTTTTGGAAAGAGGGAGAAAAAAGGAGGTTTAGGAGATAAGTAGACATGATTTAGAGCCGTGAGCCTTAAATGTTCAGATGATAGAAACGGTGCTGCTGAGATGCCGCTGCTTGTGGTTGGAAGATTTTAGACGTTTCTTTTAGAACCTGTAGAGTAGTGCAGCAGACCCCCCCTCCCCCGACTGCACACTGCTTGTCAGTTGGCTGAATAACGGCATGCTATCCATTTCCTTAGCTTTGAAAAACAAGAAATATGGATATTTAGAAAAAAAACGTATAGTTAACATCAGTATCATGCCTGTTACACATCTTAACCGTCTACATTTCATCCAAAGGTTTCGGAAAAGTTACAGGTGTGAACCCACTGAAACTTTACATCAAGAGATCGACCTTTAAAGTTTATTCTGATACCGATTATTTTGATATTAGTGTCATCCCGATATGTGCTGCCAATTCTTTTTTCTTTATTTCCATCCTTTCATCCATTTATGTAGATAGCAGAGAAGGTGCAGCAGTTACCAGGCTGTTTTCTCACCTGCTCCTGCGCCCTGCTGCCCAGCTGGCTGAAGGGTGATGACTAAAGCTCTCTTACTACTGATATTAGGCGCTAATCCAGCTGTTGATGTGTCTATATAGGATTTGTTTGATTAGTGACCGATAGATTCCCAGTGTTTCTCTTGATAAGAAATACCATAGTTTTTAGTTTTGTTTTTTGTGCAAAAACCAAAATAGTAATAACCATGTTATAGCAACACTGTTAGGAGTATAATAGTTGCTATTGTATTTTAGAAGGTGGGATAATTGTTGTTTTTCCCCCTTTAAGTAAAATCAGTTCAATCATGCTGTTTTTTTTTTTTGTTTCAAATGGTTTAGAAGTCGAATGAGTTGATACCATGGTGCTGAGAAACTGCAATGTCTATAAAAAAACGTATTACGCCATTAGAATCTCATACCAGCCTTAGACCAGTATTGACTTCTAGAGTGCCGCCTATCAGCCTCATGACGTTGTGCTGTCTTAAAGTTGTGCTTGGAAAGCATCAGGTTGCTGGCTCACTAACTACCCAGCTTACATCAGCTTGTTTAGCGCGTTACCCTGTAAAGAGAACAACCTCGAAGTGGGATATTCTGTGCAATAAGCACTCAAACTAAAGTCTGTGAATCAAAATGTGCTTTTTCATTTTTTGGCATAAAACTACTGTAATAGGATCATGTTTTTAGGTTTTGTGCAAACATTGTGGTTCTGATAAAGGTTATGGTCCAGTGGGCCTCTTACTTCGCCCAATGCTTCCAGTAGAATAGGTTGATGCTTCTCTACCTGCTCGGTGTCTGGTGCTCCAGCAGCAGCTTCAGGTTTTTATCTCAGCCTGAAAACAAAGGAGAGCGGCTCAACAAGCTGTTATTAGATGAGCTTTACAGGGTTTTTATAAGGACATTTTCCCTTTGTTCCCATGAACATGAAAACAAGAGTTTTTATTTCCCAGCTGTTCTCTGTTAACACAGTGACTGATCCAGTTATTAGATTTAAGCTTTATTGTGTTGACTAAGGAGTTTTGTCTTTGTGGAAATAGAATTTAGCTGCTTAGAAGGGGACAAGTCTGTCATGTTGCTGTGCACTGCTGGCCAGCTAAATTTTGCTTCTTTGCATATAAAAATGGCAAAATTAATCTCGTAGGTAAAATTATGAAATGCTGTGAAGCATTAGAATTAAATAGGATCCTGAGATGGGATCCAGTCGCAGGAATCGGCTAACCATGCATTGGAATGAGGGTCTGCCTCCCTTCTGATCAGCTCCACATTCTGCTGGAGCTCATTAAGGTGATTTGTTGGGTAAGTGTGGAACAGTTTCCAAATGCATCAGTCATGCTTTTAAAACCTTTTCCAGTTTGATAGATGCTATTGGCAAAGTTTATTGAGTTTCTTTAGATTGGATCATTTTTTTCATGCTTTTTTCAGATCTTTTTAGTTAGAATAGAATAGAGAATCCCTTCATTGTCCACAATGGGGAAATTCTGGTGTTTACAGCTGCAAGAAGATGATAAAAAAGGTCACACAAATGTGGACCTTATAGTGAAAAAATAAACAAATGAAATAATGTACTGTAAAGAGTTTTAACAATATACCTGGAGAATAAATAACCAGTATACACGTATGGACATTTCTACAGTAATGGATATCAGCATGGTATTTAACTAAGGTAGAAACTATGCAAAATTAGCATGAATGTAACAACTTATTGAGGTTATTGGGAACAGAGGTGGTTATAGAGTCTTACAGCGGCTGGGAGGAAGGATCTGTGATTACGCTCCCTGGTGCATTTAGGGTGCAGCAGTCACTGAAGGAATTCTCCAGTTCTGCACAACTTCATGCATGGGATGGGAGACATTATCCCACAGAGATGTTAATTTAGTTAGGGTCCTTTTGGGGCCTTAGGGGCCTTCCTGATCAGCTTATTCAGCTGCTTTCTCTCAGCTACAGAGAAGCCATTTCTCCATCAGACAGCTCCATAGAAAATAACTGATGCCATAACAGAGTCAAAGAAGGTCTTTCGAAGCGCCCCTGCTCTATAAAAGACCTAAGTCTCCTCAG